GTCTTAAATAACCTTAAAAAATTTTTTTAAGAAGATTATCAATTTTTTTTTTTTTAATTTGTTTAAAGTCGCATAAACTACTAAGGTCATGAGCGACTACGGTAGGGGGTACACTTTTGAGATTGGAACTCGTTTGTATTTCTTGGGCTGAGCAGAATAATATACACTTAAATATTGAAAATATTCATTGGTGTACGCCGGATTCGAACCCGGTCCAATGCTTTGGTAGCAAGGGCCGGATCCGATAGGCTACTGCGCGCCTCTAAAAATAATTATTAAAAAATTTTTAATAGTCTTCTTTAATTATAAATTACTGTCTGAAAAAATCCATTAATGTTTTAAAATATTAAAAACTTCTATTGATTTTTTATGTTATAATTTAATACACCTCAAGACGTCCATTAACGTTAAATAAAATCTTCTGAAGATTTAATGATATTTAAAGTCGTCAAATAAATAATTAACGACCTTTTAAAACCACGCGATTAATAAATTACGCGTTGTAGCGTAAAAGAATGTATTTTAACGATAAATTTGATGCTTTTTGCTACTGTGATGCATGTCAAAGGTTATAAGGAGGGTGAAAGCTCCATATGGTCTCTTCTCAGAAGACTTTTTGCCGTACAGTGAGTAACTAGTGAGTTTTTTTCCAGTTCGTCAGCTTGGATTATCCTCGGATTGTCCGGAGCTCTTACTCTTACTCATTCACTGTTGATTATTCATTCGTAACCTTTTCCAGGTTATTTATATAAATTTAATAAAGGTTCTTCTTCTTCTTTGATGTTCAGAGCTACCGGAGCTGAGAATCCGCGGGTATTAGAATGGATATAGCAAAAAAAAATAAAAAAAAAGGGTAAAAAAGTTAAATAAAATAAAGTTAAAAGTAAGTTGATCACTTCTTTCACAAGAATGCACGTGCTCGACATGAATTTTCTTTTGTTGTTCCCAAGGGAGAATGAGGCACTGTGAATTATCTCGTCAGGAATTCAATGCTCGTTCGCGACTATTTTCTCAAATTCGATCTACCTTTGTTCAGGTACACTTTTATCCGCACCCGGGACAATAAGAACAACTTTTCAGTTAAATAAAATCTTGTTTTAAATAAATAAATAAATAACTAAATAAATAATTAGTTCAATATTAAGTAGCTTAATAATTAAAAATAGCATTAATTTTTTTATATTAATGCGCTTACCATTATAATTCTTAAATAATACGGTACTTTCTTAACTATTGACATTTTTAAAGATATAAGCTCATCCTGATGTTACTCTCATCAAGACCTTTCATTTGAATACCCACATGCATTTTTGATATATTTTTCATATATACATATATATATATAATATATATTTTCAAAATATAAGCTCATCTTGATATTACACTTATCAAGAGCTTCCATTTGAGTACCCACATCAATTTTTCATATATTTATATATTTCACAAATACCAAATATATAAAATATATGAAAAATCCCATGTGGGTACTTAAATGAAAGGTCTTGATAAGTGTAACATTGAAATGAGTCGATATCTTGAAAAATGTTAATAATTAAGAAATTACATTGTATCTTGTGAACTATTGCCATTTTTAAAGATATAAGCTCATCCTGATGTTAC